ATAAAACATATTCAAGTACTTTTTTTTAAGAAGAATCAACTCGGTTGTTTTCATAAAAGAGCTAAGCTAACTAACTCAATTGTAGTTTTATTTTGAAAAAAATCAAGAACAGATCCAGTCTCATTTTCATTTTTAGGGTACACATTTTGACGTTGATGCACTGTCCCCTTAGCCCCTATAGTCGCCATCTCAAGCAATGCAATGATGTACTTAATTTTTCTATGACTCTGGTTTCGTTATTCCAAACACTGGCTTAAGCCGGTATACCTTAAGGTGTACTCAAAAAGGAATCAAGTGACGTGAGATTTGGTGATCTGGCTGGTCTACAAGACCTGTTCTGTCAATTCACTGCGCTGGAAATTGATAATGAAAATTCACAACTAAATTCTAAGTTACAGATCAGAATAAATGAATTTGACATTTGTCAACAGTAACTGCCACGGTAAAAAATGGTATCTGTTTACACTACTTTAACAGTGAAAGCAGAATTCATTTCAATATTTTTTTAGCCCCAGAAACGTCAGCTGGCTTGATATTGTAGTGCCCTGAGTGCTGAGAGAAAAAAAAAAACATCGCGAGACCGCATTTGAAAAATTAAAAAATAAGAAAAGCCATTCAATAACGTTTAGACAATTAGTAAATGCCACCTTTTAAATTACTGGTAGTTAGGGGTTGGTAAATGATAATGCAGACAGATAGGATTCTGAAAGCGCCTTCACTTTATGTTATTGCGCACCACTTGTTGTTTGTTGTGAGTGGAAACACGTGTTAAATTAGTGCATACATTTTTATTTGTCATTTCAAAATGCATCGCATTCGACAACACAGTCCGCCTCAACATGTGTACAATATCGATTTATTAATGCTTTTGTAATCTGAAATGTGTAGAACTTAAAATTATTCCACCAAAAATATGTGTAATTTTTGTTTTTATTGTTTTGACGTGCTGCAAATTCACTTAAGGCTTTAAAATTAAAAAAAAAATGTGATTTCCTTTGCCAAACTTGTGTTTCATGGTTTTTTAATAGTCCATTTTAGTGATTTAATTGGTCTGTCACTTGACCGCTCCGGAGATTGATTATGAAAATTCATACTTTAACAGTGAAAACAGAATTCATTTAAATCATTTTTTTAGCTCCGGAATTGTCTACTAATTTGTAATTTGGTATTGCGCTACCCTTAATATAAAATTACAAAAAAAGCACCACCAACTCTCATTTGAAAAAATAAAAAAATAAGAAAAATCGTTCAGTAACGTCGGCAATCACCCATGTTCTAGGGCGTTTAGGGAATTAGTGAATGTCACCCCTTTGGTTAGTAGTGGTTTAGGGGCTGGTAATGCAGGCAGCTGGAATTCTGAAAGCGTCCTCACTTTATGATTCTTGAGTGCCACTTGTTGCTCTGTTGTGTTCGTAAATTTTTGTTAGTAATTTCGAAAAAGCGTAATGTTGGGGAAAAAAATCGCATTCCGCCTCAACGAGTGTAATTCGTGCAATATCAGTTTATTAATGAGTATCTAATCTGAAACGTGTAAAACTCTAACTATTCCATAAACGTGTGTAATTTTTGTTGTTATTGATTGTAAATTCACTTAATCACGCTCAGCTTATTTACAATTAAGTATGTATTTAATCGTTCTGAAGTTATACATATTATTCACAGTTTATAAACTTCTCACACGAGACTTATAATAGTTCATTTATGGCATTTAAACTAATTCCCGACCTTTTTATCTTACATTCATTACATGTTCAGAATGTAATATCTCCGTTATTAACACACTTATTGCTATGAAATTTTAAATATAAATTCTCCATGCTTACTCTATGTAACAGAGTGGCAGTTTTTTTTAAATAATTTACCATCATCATTCTTTTTAAGGTGAAAATATTTTAAAAATTCAATATTTCAATTATTTATGGTAATTTCGGTAATTTCATTAATAAATCATCCAAAAAAAAAAAACATTTTATCAGACATTTATAAATTACAAAAAAAAAAACAAACCCAACACAACAAAAATCCATTAAAGCATAACCAACATTTAAATACTAGAGAAGATGTTCAAAATTCTTGCCCTGTGCATATAAGTAAACTCGTAATGTTTCCAAATTTTGATCACTTTTTGTAAAAGCTTGTCATCACTACTTGCTAAGATAAAACTGATTTGGCAAATGAGATACCCTCTAAGAAAAGAGAGGGTGGGTGGGCGGGGCTACTAGCTGCACAGATAAGACTGTTTTGGCTAATGAGATACCCTCTATGAAAAGAGGGGGTGGGTGGGCGGGCTAGTATCTGCTAAGATAGGGCTGATTTTGAGAAATGATATACCCTCCAAGAAAAGAGAGGGCGAGTGGGGTGGGCTAGTACCTACTAAAATAAGACCGATTTTGGCAAATGACATACACTCTAAGGAACGGGAGGTAGGTAGCCTGGGCTAGTACCTATTGAGATAAGACTGCTTTTAGCAAATATCGTATCCTCTTTATAATTATAATATATAGTATTGTTACGAAATAAACCCATGCGCCGCCCCGGTACGACGCCTATGGGTCTTCTACTATGTACGCGGTTCTTCTCGTATGTAGTATGACTCATCGGCCGCGCGGATGCAAGCGGATGTCGCGAAGAGCCCAGAAAAAGTCTTGAAGTGGCGGTCGAAAAGCCTGGAAGCGGAAGTCGCGAATACCCATTTCGAGAAAGAGCTCGATCGCCGAAATATGGGTTTAAATAGAGACCACCTTCGGGAATGATTCAGTCGAGAAGCCGAGTGAGCGAATTCATCCAAGTTGCACGACGAAGTTATTTTGTACATAATCACTGTAATAGTCGTGTAAATCCGGGTTATTAAGAAATAAATTGTTGAGTTTAACCTACGCCGATTTTGTTTGCCTGCACAACGTAACAGCATAATTTATTTAAATGATTATCAGAAAAACACTAGAGGCTCCAAAGCTCTTTTAAATTATTTCCAAACAGGAATGCCTAGAACCTCACGACTGTTTTAAATTTTTCAAAAAAATTAACTCAAAAACAGGTCAGGCCAGAATTTTCCAAAAACTGCACACCAAAGTCCCCCAAAATAATACACCATGGGTACCCAAGTCCCCCAAATTAAAAAAAAAACCACTGCAACATTCAAGACTTTGAAATTCATAAAAAATAAAACACTAAAAGCTCAAAAGATTTTTTTTCCAGTTCTGAAAATAAAACATCAAGGGACCTAAAATTAACTGCGAACATTTTAAATGTAGGGTTTTGAAAACTGACAATTTTTTTATACGTCAAACATTTTTAACTGCTTACTCGATTTTTGCTGATTCGTACCTTCGCTTTATATCAGGTTAACAAACAAATGGAATTTTATCAAATTATATTACAAAAACAACACAACCACATCTGCGTACATTCTAACTGAAATGGTAATTAAACGTGGGCGAGAGAAATATTAACTAAAAGTTTTATTACCAGTTACTGTGATAATGAATGTGTTGTTGAGTTGTTAAACGTATCAAAAGAACCAATTTTAAAATCTTTATAACTGTACCAAAATGTGAGAAGGATTTTTTTTTTATTTTTCTCATACTCACCAGTTGATTGTTAAGAGCGTAGCGGAGAGTGAATCCGCCGTTTTCCAGACACCCGGTATAGCGCAACATGTTGACAGATTATATTTAAAATTTCGTAATAATAGGTCTGTTAATAACGGAGATATTACGTTCTGAGAATATATTGAAAACATGAGGGACTCCTCTTAACCGTTGATCCATTTTGAGAGAATGGACCTTGAAAATTTTCATCAGTCAAATTAATAACTTTTTTTTTAATCATCAAATGGCGACAGACTACGACGAGGAATTTAATTGTCGTCCACTAAGTATTATCATTCAGTTACTTTAATACAGAAAAAAAATGTTAACCACCACAGTTCAAGCCCAAAGCTTGAATTTTTTCACATGTCTAATTCTGGCGAGAGTTTAGATTATCACAGTACATTTCTTCTTCTTTGTGGAGAAATCAGACCACTAAAACTAAGTTTACTCTGAGCGCCTTACCATAATGTCATTAAATACATTCAACGACAGAATTAGGGGGATGCGATTTTCACCTTCAAATCGTTGAGGTCTGAGTTTCGTGACACAGAATTTATTCACCTTATGCCTGCACTCCAGAACTTGAGGTCGTAACTTCAAGCTGGAAAAGGAGAACTTTCGCACAACTGTTAGACAACACTGCTTAACAAAACGAGTGTTTGATATTTGGAACAAGCTGTCGAAGGAAGTCGTCCAAAGTCCTATCTATGTACTATTCATATTTTCAAATCCATATTTGATCGTTTATAATTTATTATAATGATTATAATCGTGCAGTTCCACAGGCATAATAGGGTTTGTCCTCTGCACATTAATCTTCATTAATAACAATAAATTTGTTTAAAGCTTGAACACTACGCGAAATTAAATTGGGGCCCTAAGAACTATTGCCTACGCAATAAAAAGTAGTAATAAGCAACAAATAGTAAAGTTAATAATATTGTTTTAAGATTTTCATTACTTAATAGCTAAAAGTCGTAATTGCAGCTATTTAAAATTTTTGAGTAAAATTGAAATTGACCTGTTTTTGGATTTAAATAGTTTCCAACACATTTTTGATCTTCGATTAAAAAAAATTGTTATTAAATTTCTCTTTATTTATTACTGATTTACCATTGACTCACCTGTTTACTTTTGTATTTTTCTGATTTGGTCCCCCTGTTATTTTTGTAACATACAACAAATCTCGACGTCCTGTTTATGTAATATTCCCTACCTCTTAAAGTTAGAAGTCTTGAGAAAATCGCTCGAAAAAACCAATAGATAGATACCCACCGCTAATTCCACCACATTACCAACTACAAAGGACCTATCTATTTCCCCATCTCAAGACTCCCCTACACCGCCACCCCTCCCCCATTCCCACCAACACACAAAGCAAACACCAACAAAACAAAAACCAATTACCTTCCGCCTTGGCGAACAAGTCGGCGGCGACAGTTTCACAATATCAATGGAATGTTGATTAGCTACGAGGAAGAGTGGGTCGCCGTTCTCGCTGTGACCGCCGCCGACCACGAACGGCGTCGTGCCGAACAGGTCCTTGGGCTGGTCACGTGACAACGACGACGTCGGCGGCGGGACGCGGGGCGGGACGGGCGGGGAGGAGAACACGTCGTCGGGGGACTGGAGGAGGTTCTGGGTCTCCTGAGAGAGGGAGGGATTGTTGGGGAGGAAGAAACGTTTGGGAGGCGATGCCATGGGGGCACCGGTGCGCGACGGGAACACCCACCGATCGGGGCTGCTGGACGTCGGCGACGAGTGCTGTTTGAAGTTCTCCAAGCTACGGACCGGTTTTAACTGCAAGCGGATAGATACGGAGGCTGTTAACACACAAAAAACAAGCGACAAGTGAGTGTGCGCTGGGGTTGGGACCGACACGCTAGCGTGCAGATGGTACTCGAGGAGGAATCGAAAGAGGTACATGGGAGTGTTAAGGAAATTGAAAAATGTTCCTTCAACTTTGTACACGCCGCTATATTCCTACTAACAAACTACATAAAAGCATTCATCCGGGGAGTCCCCAAAGCTGTAAAGCCATACACCGAGCATCTAAACTTTCTTTAAATGAAATATCTCGCTTATTTGTGGAGATAGCGACATGCTGTGGAAGCCAAATTTAAATTTAATGGTATTTTGACTGGTACGTGGGTCTTTCACGAAAGGTACATTACTAATGCTAATTTTTAATTTCAGAATTCTATTTTTTAATTTTGAAAACCATTGATGATGAATATCGGGTCGGCCCCACTCCATGACCAAAATACCAGGATGCTTGATGTTCATATTTTTTCTAAAAGTCCCAAACTTCCGTTGACAGTAACTTTGATGTTCAACTTTTGCCGTATTTAAAGGGGTTCTAGACGAAAAGTGGAGGATTTAAGTTGATTACTACAAAAATTTACCATTTTAGGCATGTTTTAAGTTTCTTGTTGCCGAAATAAATCTACACACACATATTTAGGGAAAAAAAGGCAAAATGTAGCCCCACCCACCCGCCCTGTCTGAATTGTGATGATTTTTTTTATTCGTCGTGAGCCAAGGGGGTGGAGCTTAACTGCAAATCCTTAGTTCTCTACGAGAAATTAAAAACATGTTTTTGAGTATGGTGTTGTTCAAAGAATAATTTCTTGTAAAGAAATAAGTATTTTGCAGTTAAGCTCCGCCCCCTTGGTTCACGGCGAATAAAAAAATCATCCCAATTGAGATTTTGCCTTTTTGTTTTAATATGTGTAGACTTATTTTCACAACATGAAACTTAAAATATGTTCAAAATGGAAAATTTGTATAAGGTAATATCGCTTTTGCAATTAGGCTTCGCCCCATAATTGCAAAACCCATATTTCCTTGCAACAATGTACCATTTTAACCATGTTTTAAGTTTCTTGTTGAGCTTAATTGGTAAATCCTTATTTTTCTACGAGAAATTACCACTTTCAACGGCAACGTCAGCGGCAAGTTTATAAATCGGCCTTTAATATGGGTGACGGAATTATTTGGTGGGGGATTTTTACAAATATTTTTTTTTGTTCTAACTTTGCTAATTTTAATTTACTCGTAATTTACAAATCACAGGTTACACTATTTCACAGTAACACATATTGCCTAATAGTTTCGGATTTCCAGTGGGTGTCGTGGTTTTAATTTTATTGGTTTATGATCCCTCGTTCGTAGTCCTGTGGAACAAAAGCATCAGAAATATAATCACACTAACCGCCTCCAAGCTGCCGCCACCAATCACCATTAAATCGTTGTTTCACAGAAAAGCAATCAAGTGTTTAAACAATTTCTCACAAGTCCACTTGTTTACATCAGAGTCTACTATTACGTGCCACTTGAACAATGCACAATACAACATTCAAATGTAAAACAAAAGGCAAAAGCGATTTTTTGTGTTTAGTTTTTCCACACCAATTATTCTGATATTAGTTTATTTCGTTAAAAAGTATTGCAAAACGGTGAAAATTTTAAGGGAATGTCTTATTAATTCATAAATTTAATAAAATGCGGGTGTATTCTTTTTAACTCTGGCTCTAACATCTGCTGTTGGAGATATATTAGACAAATAATACTGTCATCCCAACACCTGTGATTTTAATAATCCACCCTAAGTTTTTACGCTGCGTGTGTACGTAGCCTTTTAAAGAATTGAGCTGATACTTTAAATTTTACAGTGTGTTTCAGAGACTGCAGAACCGAATGTGTATATACAGGGTCGCTAGAATGTATGGAAATGGTTTCGATGATATTTTGCAAATCCACATACAGCGTCCAGAAAAACTGAATGTTTGGTGCGGTATTATTGGTTACCATGTAATTGGTCCTTTTTTATTAATAGGATTTTAAATTCTGACTTAGAGAATTGTTTCCTGAAGGTAAGAAATGTTGCTGCCTCGGTGGGAATCGAACCACACGCCCCTCGCTTGCCGGACAGGTATCCTGACCACTAGACCACGAGGCCGCTTATCTTTCTCCGCTTACCAAGATGTTATTGTGCCGCCACAGTACACAGACAGACAGACAGACAGACAGACAGACAGATAGACAGACAGATAGACAGTCAGACAGACATCGTGAACAAAAAAATCGACTCCCGATCGCCACCCGTGATTTCTAATAAAGAAAATGGAACAAGGAAAATAAACGACAAAATCAAAGCGGAAACAAAAATGAAAAGTAGAAAATGAATATGTAACTCCTCCGATTCAGACTTAGAATGGGATATTGAATCTGATATTGACTTGATCAAATAGCTTTTAGACGGCAAAAAATAGAATATGTTGACTACTTGCCTGTAAGATTTTCAACGACAAGGAGAGTCCTTTATTATGTTGGCAGAACTGAGAAAGTATGTGACAATGGGAAATGAGGTATTTTTTTTAAATACCGAAGCGAGTTCCAGTTTCCTGGTATCAAAGACATTTGCATTATTTCCAGAAATGATGGTTATCGAAACTCCTAACCAATGGATACGGCAAGCACGTCAACAATGGTAAGAAGTTTAATGTGAATTTCTTCTCTTATAATGTTCAAGTGTTCATTTAATGAAGTCAATTAAGTGTTACTAAGAAAATAACTTTTATTATTTTATCACCATTTCCTCTATTAACTTTTTTCTATAACGCTTCTTGAAATGATACCATAATTTTATTTTACTGCCTAGTCAGTGTGTTTGCAATAATAAATGTAAGTATCTTATCTGCACAATTTACCAATGAATGGTAGACTTGTGAAACTTTGTTATAACTTATAATTTATTGATTTTTGTGATTTTCAGCTAGCTTTTGTTCCATTCAACCCCACTGATCCAAGAGAATTGATTTTTTCAGGCATTTAGTACCCATGCGATAAAAAATGCAACGTTAGTGTTAAGCTCACTGAAACTTTGAGGAAATACGTTCATCTTTTCAGGCCAGTTAGTTCTGTTTTGTTATTTTCATCTCTCTAAGAGAAATGTTCTTTTTAAGGGAATACTAATATGTATATTGTTTTATTAGGAGCAAAAATGAAACTTTTCGTGGCGAATATTTCCTGAGATTACCTTTAAAAAAATGTCTCTTAATGAGAAAGAACTGAACAAATTTAGCTGGTGTAAAAATATCGACTATATAATATATGACGAATTCAAGGGGCAACGTAACAAAATAAAAGGCGATGATTTTCGTATTTGTTACTTAAATGATCATCCCCAATTTTTTTCATCAAAATTAAAAATCATGCGGTGCAATTTTTCAGACAAATTTGGTGTTTTCATATGGACCGACCCCACTATAGCTTCTAAAAGCTGTTCAAAATCTCGCCAATTAAAAAACAATAATACGATTTTTTATTAAGCGTTTTTGTTGTTTGTTGAATCTTTTTGAAATTTGGGCTGTCACGAGGAATATTCAATTTCTAGTTTCTGCATTTTTTTCAAATTTTATATTTCATTTGTTTTTGAGATGCACGGCTAACTTGATTTTTCAAAATAAGACTAGTAGTCAAATGTTCCGTTTTTAAATAGTCCATGTTTTTTTTTTTAATTCAGAAATGTAACGCATGCATGCATTATTTTATTTTTTCCCAACATGGTAAAATAAATTGTCAAAATAAAAATATTGAAAAACAAAATCGTAGCTAGCCTTGACCGGTGTTCGGCAGTATCTAGACACTTGTATCTAAATAAAGTCTCTAGATACATCTAGATAAAATAGAATTTAAGCACAAAATATCTGTATCTAGATATAAAATTAATGGCGCAGATACAGATACAATTTTTATTTCACTTTTTTTCAGTAGTTATTAGTTGAGTTATACTAGTAGTAATTTTTGATACTTCATGTTGGTGATTTTGGTCACATAAACAAAAATAGAGGTAAGAGGTCCACTAATAGTGTTCTGTCACGGAAATTTTCATATTTTAAATACCATCATTTCCTACATTGTAGCTTTCAGTACTTATACATCTTTAAATATAATCCTGAGGGGTAATAAATCGAAGCCATGGTAAGAGGGTATTTTAAAAACCATAAACCACAATTCACTATTCACTGCGTTTTACGCTTATCGGGGCAATGCATTTTATCTGTGTTCCTGAACAACCTGGGTTCCGGTAGGCCCGCTGGTTGTATTTGTGTTATTAAATAAGAGTAATTTTAATAGTAAAAATATTTGTTTAAGGTATGTTATTATTTTTAGAAAATAATAATTGCGTGTTACATAATGATTATTTTTTTCAATTAGCTAGTTCTGTAATCGACTAAGCGACTGTTCAATACATACATTTCTCTCGCATAAATCGCATATTTGTTACTGTTTTATATCTTTATTTTTCAGACAAATGTAGCAACTTTTCCTGTTGCCACATGTGACATTTCTCCACTTTTTCATTGTTAGACCTAACGCGAGGTGAGCTTGGCAGGTCCGTTTTGCCCTAGAATGTGCCGATTATGTTTAAGTGTAAATCTTGGGCAATAAAATTAATATTTTTACAACCCTCGGTAGAATAATTTATCGTGATATATTCTCAGAAATCGTGAAACGAGATTAAAATAAAATGAGTTTCAACAAAAATCTGAAAATTTAAAGTTGCACTCTGGTGATTCCCGCCTGCCAGGCAGCCTTTGATCCTATAAGAGGTTTAAATACCTTTCTAAGAAATTGTACTTATTTTGCCTTAAACGGAACCAGCAATTCTTCCTAAAATGTATATACCTGCCACACCGGGATAGACGATTACCGGACATAGTCATAAAAACATCGTAAGCCGATATTAAAGAATAATAATTTATGACAGGTTGCCGACAACAGACCTTCAGCAC